AGGTCATAGTGATGCAGTGAAGTGCGTAGTGAAGTGATGATGGAGATAGTGTTTTGTTATATGTCACATTTTTTTTAAATGGTATCGTTGCAATGGAGAACTGATACCTACTTACATACCTATACATTTAAAGTTTATAATGCAAGAGTTTATGACTCGTCATAATACTAGAAAGTTCATTTTAATGGAGAGAATAATACTAAAATTTCAAGATCGAAATTAAAACTAAAATCCTTATAATTCAGAATATGACTATGAGTCATAGTACATAGCACATGACTGTGTACATAAGTGTGTTCATACATCGCATTGAGCAAATTATTTGAATTAAAACTGATAAATAATGAATTGTATCAGTTGTGTAATTAATGGAAGTGTGGATGTTCATAAATATGACTTGTATGAGTCACTTTATATTCGCTAATGTTAAGGAGACACATTTAATAAAAATGATACATAATATTAAGTAGCTGTTGACGTTTGAAATGATTCACTAGTGACTATACCTAGAAAAATCTATTTTACACAATTCAGAAGGGGTTGCCAAGATAGCAAAGAATATATGCATATTGCTGAGACAGCCGTCAAGTAATTCGATGTACAACTTTTTTACTTTTACACGTGTATGCTCTAGAAATGATAACCAATACAGCCATAGAAAACGCAAACATTAATTCTTAACAATATGTCTACTAGATCACATGACCATAACATTAAAACAGAACATTGTAGTACACTATCTCTAAATTACTTTCATCAGTTAAAGGGTTACAAGTTAACGTTTGTCGTCATCAACGCAATTAAACGTAACAAGAGGGTTACGTTCACAAACGATTCTAAATTAACTGTGGCACGCACTAAACTGTACTATAACATGGTGCCCATAATATTTGAAAATGGAACCGTCGTTCTTTTATTTTTTCATCAACGTAAAAAGAAGAAAATATTCTCAATTCGAATCGATTCGATGTTTTTAAATTATCTGTTAAAAGAAATGTTTTGCAAGAGATTTCGAACTTGAATCCTAGTTCAGACAAAGTAAAGTACTTTCGATTTGCGAAATTATCGGTAATAAGAGCCTTAGGAGAGGAGAAAAGTGTCTTAGGATAATAAGAAGAAAAGGAGAAATATGACAACTAATTGATCCCGCAATAAATAAGACACCTACAGACAAAAAACATCCATTTCTATCTAACAAACGAGAAAATAAAATCGTAGTAATATATCAAATTAAAAGGTATGTAACCTTTACGAAAATGTCTATCATCGCCTTAATTAAGCTCGAGCCACCTCATCGTTGACGCAAGTGGTTGTTGACACGATCACTGTTTGCCGTCACTTGTGCAAACAGCCAACTGGATGATATCACCACTAGTGTGGACCTAGCACAATTACACAGGTGTATAGAGCTCCACGTCCAAGTTTTAATGGTCACGTGACTATGAGCGTGAAATCTAGCAATATGCTAAAATTAATTTTTGATACAATTTTTTCAGTGAGTGCATGGCTGTAGTGTAGATTATGTAGTGTCTGATTGTATTAGTAGATTGTTGGGCTGAGAGTACAAATTCATAAATTATGCGTGACGGCATAGTCTGCTTCTTATCTACCATATAACTATGATGCTACGCACCAAAAATATATCTCCCATAAATGAACAGTCCCATGAAATGGCTTTATGGGCCGCTCTAATTACTTTTATCGGGTTTATTTCATCGGCAGCACCCTAATAGCAATTTAATTGTAATTGAAAACTAATTAACTCGGCCACCGAGCACAATCTTCAATTAGCTATAGATCATAATGATTACGGTCATGCTAGCGGTTATTACACTACCCATCCAACCCGGTCCAATTATAAACTGACCCTTTTCTTAAACCCGAATCTCTGCACGTGTGTCCAAAGAAATCGCAAATTTCTTTCAATACCAACAATAGTAATGCACGTGTATACCGAAAATTTCGTATTTGAAATTAAACAGAAAAAATATTTAACCCAAATTTTGCAAGAGTTGCGGAATTCGAAATAAGGGTTGCAAAAAATCCTTTCTAACCCGAGCGTCCGACGCATTGAACACGTGCATGAGGTAACAATGCGTCGATGACTCACGAACGAGCCTCGAAACGTCGATACAGAACGCCGTATTATTAAAGTGGAAAAAGAAAAAAAAAAGATAAGCGCTCACTCGTCGTACCGCGTCAAGGAATTGTACATCTGCCGAAATTTCTCACGGATCCGTCGCTCGGGCGCTTCGTATGGTATTATTATACCGGACCACTTCGCTATCTCTACCCGCGTATTATAGACCATGTAGTTGTTCTGGTAATTATGACGACTGGGCTAGCGGTACCTCACGCTGGGTACTTTTAATCAATAGTAGCAATTAGCATATCTGGTTTGAGGCATTTAGCGAGACGTGAACAGAATTATGCAAAGTTTGAGATGCAAATTATTGTAGTTGGGTAACGGTTGTGTTGAATGGGCTTTAAGTGATGAAAATATTTTTTAATTGCAAAATTATATATGGTGTTCTTCATAGTAAATGTTGGTACATTAACTATCTTTTTGGCTTTTGGTAACAGACATGTAATGGAAAAACAGTCCTTTCGTTCTAGCTGTTTTCACTTCAATTACTAGTATTGGATTTTGCATGTTATAATGAAAGTAGAATTTTCCAATAACCATTTAGGGTTTTCGACGGCAATGCCACGAACCGGATTGAAATACCGGATGACATTGCCTCTGATTTCCTGACTACGTAACGAAGCAGACTACATAATTAGAAAATTTTGTATATTCAATATGCAATTTTTTTTATTTCCTGAGGTTGTTCTGTAACATATTTGATTGATTTAACAAGTCGATAAAATGCACTATAAGCCTATTTTCAAGTGTTGATAAAATATTTATCATTTACATTATTGATGGTATGATTTTCATTGAGAAGTGGAAAACTGCTTTTTAATCAGTGATTGGGATGATTTAATGGTAGTATTTTTGGCTAGCCACGTAAAACAATGTTGAAGTATTGTTTATGGAATAGAATGGTGTTATTTGCATGCCATCATTTAGTTACTCAGTCTTTAGTGTATGTTGTAGTTTTGGTAAATGCATGGCTTTTAACTTCAGTAGTTTCGATTAAAATCAATCTTAGATACTAATATTTATTGAGTAGCATATCGTAGATAGCTGCATGATAGATTGGATACTTACTAATAAATTAACATGATATTAATTAATTCATGGTAGTTAGTTTAATATGCCTGTCATTTTTTGAGTACTAATAATAACATTTTGTAGATTTTTTTGGAATTATTATTCCAATTGGGTGAAAACAAATTGGGTGTGTTTTGAATAGAAATTGACAATATAATTTTTGGCGTAGCTTTGCAATAAATGTATGGTTACTTATATGAATATAATGCATTTCTTTTCTTACTAACATAATGATTTTTAGTAACAATAATGAATGGTTTGTATAGTAAACGTTATATAGTATACTATTCAATAATGCACGTGTTTCTTGCATAAAATCTCGCTTATTGTCATCTACTATTTGTTCGTTCTTTCCAAGTCTTTTCTATTATCTGATTGCACAATGCGTTCTACATTCAAATAGTGCATTTTTTATTTTCCCAAGACACGTTCAAACTTGTTCAAGATTGAATATTTTGCAACAGGTTGAAACTTGTCTCGGGGTGGCTTGAAGTTTTTAAACTCGTCCGTAGTTTTATACTACTTTTTTCTCGGAGAAAAGCCTGGTAGTTACCTCGGCACTGTTATTAAAGTTTACTATGTAAGGAGTGTATTAAATTGAAGGTTTTTGCATGAAATAATGAAAGTGGTACTGATGCGATGCGTGCTATGTGGTGGTTTATTATGGAGGCTATCGATAGCCTCGCCTTCGTCGTTAATGATCGCAAATATTATACGTGTCGATAATATGATTTTATGTATTGTTTTTATGGTAATATAGTGCTTTTTTGTATGTTTTTGTTAATTACACTGGTTTTTGTATGCTCGTTAGTTAATAAATTTTGATTACTACTGCCTGAGTTTCATTTTATATTTTGTGCGGACAAACAGTGCTGATGTTATATTTCTATCTTTTACCAAATATTATCTAAATATCTATCAAAAGAAAGTACTTATCCAGTATTTGTTTACACTATACAATTAATTAATTACTAATCAAAACATTGGATCGTTTAATACCAATTACGTACTATTTGCATAAATAATGTTCTTTAAGTATCTCGTAGCATCGATCCATTAAATTTTATGACCACCACTTACGTAACCCACAGTACGTGCCTAATTGTATAAAATAAATAACAGCTCCAAACAACAGAGTTAATGCGGCAACTTAAAAAAGAGACCATTAAAAGTCCGGTAGCTTTGCCTCAGGCCTGCACGTGCGCGCGCGCACAAAATGTTGCCCTCCGAGTATGGCGAGGCAAGAATGGTGGCTCGCGCCGTCGCCCGCGCCGACCTCGTCTGACTACTTTTTGGTTCAGAGTACAAACCAAGAGTAGGTTCAAGTAAGAACATTTTATCGACTCTGTTTTGTCTTTTTAGTACTAAACCTTGTGGTTTTACTTGCTACTGTATTCGATTTTGTGTATTTGTGTTTGTTTTGTTGTGTGTAAGGGGTATTCGGGTTGTAATGCAGTAAAAGATAGCAAAATTCATTCAATTTGTATATTGTTTATACAAAATCATAACACAGGTAAATGTCAATAAATACCTAATCCCTACAACAATTAAAGCTTGATAAGGAAGATCACAATTCAAAGCTCACTATTCCCTAACATTAATTTATACAATACAAAATATTTTCAAAAATATCACAACACTATCGAAAATACAATTAAAGCTTTCGAGGAGTTATCACGAGTATTGAGCAGGCCTAACCTAACTTATCCCTATATGGCACCTTGAACTAAGTTAAAGCTAACATCACAGACGATTGCGGAAACCAACGGAGCAGTCACTGGTTTCACGGAAGACACTGAATTTTGTAGAGTACTGGTTGCAGTTTAGGCTTGCACCCAGCGGTCCTGCAGGACGGGGTACTGCTGCTCCGCGGTCTGGCACTCGGTGTAGCAGTGAGCTGCCACTGCGAAGTCAGCCTCGGTTTTGGAACGGTGGTCCAGAAGAAAGTGCCGGCTTCAGTCCTCGCGAAGTGCACGGGTACGTAGAAGTTGTCAGGGGTCACTGGCACAAGGTCGCACGTGTTGTTTTCGTTGTACACGAGGAAGGCGGCGCCAGACTGGCACGCCTCCATCTCCTCGCAATCTTGCGCTCGAGCATCTCGTTGCTTGAGTTCTGGTCCTCCTCGAAGCATGTGTCGCACGTTTTGGCGGGAGCGCGCTTGGTCGTTTTCTTGATCATCTTCATCAAAGGCCTTAACAGAGCCTTGATGCCGCTGTTCTTCATCTTTTCACTGTTGTATCTGTTCTCGTTGATCGAGTTGTTTGTTGCGATGATGTATTCGTTGTTAGCGTAATAAGACATGTTGAAAGTTTTGATAGACAAATAGTAATAGTAGAGAGAGCGTGTGTCGCTAGTGAGATCACAGGCGGGAATGTGGGGCTGACTGAGCCGGTCGGGCTTTTATAGTGCGCGCGCCGCCCCCGGCACAAAAGGCCCACGTACATGAAAAGCGCCCTTTGTATGTGTGGGTGAGTCAAGTGGTTTATTCGATACCCCGATATGCATTTCGTATTTCGTGACAGGTCTTCATAATTTTGGAAGAGTTGAGACAAGTTTTTTGGAATCGTATTTTTGGGGATGGGTAAATTAGTGTCAGCTCGTTTAAAATTGAAGGCTGGTAATTTTAACAGATTGCACTGTACGTGTGAAGTTTGTGAGCTTTTATATTACGGCGAGCTGAATTTATGATATCACTGAAAAATATTAGGATTCTACTGTAAACATGTCTTATCTTTCGATATTCCTTTTACAGACTTTGTCTGTTTCACATTCATGAATTTATGATCAAGCACTTGTTCGTAATTTTCACATGTGTCTATTTGATTCTTATTATCATATCAAACAAGTGTGTGAAGGGGTTTCATGGGAAAATCGGTCACGTGCCGTCCACACGCCCAAGTGTGGGCAAACACAACACATGTTGATTGCCCCCCGGCCCCAGCGGCCGCGACAATGCGATTGTTATCCCTTTACCGAGGTCACTAAGTCAGAGGGGACGAACCCTCCGCTGCGGCCAATTCACGCGCTGCTCACGCGCACGTCACGAGACCCTAATAATAACAAAATTTAGGGCAACCTCAATCATTAATTGATGCATTTCTGTTTATTCTATCATTAAGCCCTATGATACACTATCACGATAATATCGAGTGGGTGAGGGTCTTACTAAAAGGAGTGCAATAAATTGTTTCCATTTGTAATTCTTACACGTACCCCTATCTTAGATCAGGAATTTGAGTCATCCAAGTCAAAGTTCATTAGCATTTTGTTTACAAAAAGAATTATTAAAGTAGGATGCCACCTACACACAAAATATTCGGCTCGTACCGGTCCAAACATGTAGGATTTTTTCTTAACATGTCCAAAGAGAGTATTACAAAAAAATTTAGTTTAAAAGAAATCAGTGTAGCGGTGATAGTGGTTGCTCAGCCAATGGGGTGCGCGCGCGCCGGCAGGTGCCACGATCCGAAGGCTCTCGCACACATACACTCGCAGTTTAAATATACGATCGCTGAACACGTGCATTCGAACAGGATGAACATATGCGTTTATGGGGTACGCGAGCGAGACACGCGATATTTTTTATCGATATGAATAGATTCAAGACTCCCTCATATCCGAAATAGGGTAACGCAAAGGCTAATTTGGTTATTGAAAATTGAGGGGTTGTTCGTGGGAATGCTCCTCGTTCCTAGGTTCCCAGGGTTGCTCGCACATTGACTTTTTTTCGGCGATTCGAGATTCGGAATGACGACAGATGGCAAGCGGTCGATCGTTCCCGTTCTGCTTTGTTATAATAAATCGTATGGGGTATTGGAATTAAACATACCATTTTGATGGCTCAGCGCGTTTGTGCGGGGGTTGAGGGGATGAAGATGTAAACAAGTGTAAAAGGGGTCAGTGGAACTCGACCGACTCTGTAATTAAATGTCTATTAGGAGCATTTTGAGATTATTAGGAGATATTGTTAGGGGTTGAAGTTATCATTATAATGATGGCTATCAAAAGATTGCTTTAGATGATTTTAGTGGTAGATTTATGATGCAAATTAGAACGATTGAGATTCTTAAATGAGTTGAATGGCTTTTTTGTTATTGGTCATTAATTATATGTATTTGAAGACCGTTGTGGAATGGATGATGGAATTACTAGACCTTGCCATACCCTATTACGTATTTATGGAAGCGTGAAAGCCTGTGCAGTATATTCGCCGTAAAATAATACATATTCCCATACTTACCTGATCGTAAAATCATTTTTTTCAGGTTATCGCGTGAGTCCAGTTGAAGCTTTTCCCACGTTTGGATGATGCAAAAACTTACAAAGGAAATAATAGATAGAAGATACTTGCGTCATTTTAGTAAAAAGTGTAGCTTATTGAGCGCCCTACGGCGTGACAAGTGTGACGTCACACTACCTTGGGGTGCATAATGACGAGCCCCTATTGTCATATTATATCATTCCACTTGTTGCTTCAAAGTGAGGTCAGATTGTAAGAGATTTTTTTAATAGGTTTACGTTTCGTTAAGCCAAGATTTATTATGGATTCGAATATTTGTTATGTGGCCAAAACTACTTAGTGTATATATGCATGGTTAGGTAAAATGAGGTTTTGTATTGTTATACTATATTCGAGAGTAGTTTCAATTTATGATCTTGTAAATAACATGTAGAAACGTAAGTTTTTCATAAATGTAAGATAGTTGTAGTAAAATCAGTTTTAAGATAATGAATTTAACCTAATGACAATTTTAGTGAAATACATAAGTGCCTTAATAAAATTTAAGTTTGTACAAAAGTATATGTATGTTTTATGATTTATTATGATTGGAACCTGTGATACATTGTTAGCTTTAATAAAAAGTAGAAAGTACAATATATTCAGCGCTGACTTTGTAATTTATAGAGTGCAAAAATAAGGATTTAAATTAAAAATTACATTAATTCATATTGTAAATAACAGTTTTGTAAATACGTAATTATTTCAAACTATTTTTAGGATATTAGTTATAAGTACCTATTGTTTCACTGAACAAAATAAAAACTGATTAATTAGTCGGATCAGATTTAAAAGTTGACGTGGCAATGGCAGTGAATTAATTTTAATTCTTGTGATTAAAGTAATGTTATAATTAGTGCCAAACAGTGCTTATGGCTAAAATCATTGGATTGAGATAGATTTTTGACATTGGTCATAGTTGTAATTGTCAAAAATATTATAAACCGATTCTATGTCGATCTGATGTAAGATAATAATACGGTTATTTATTAATTTTGTATTATACCTAATAATTCGTGGTAGAATATGTACCACAATTCCTCGCATGTAAATAAAATAAATATAGCATGTTTGTAAAGTAATTTTAGATCAATATTTGCTTTTAATCTACCTTTTGTGTCTGTACTTGTAAGTTTTAATAGTATGTATGGACAATTTTGACCTCGGTCCAATTTAACTACCTCAAAAACCTATCTCACAACGACATAATTTTCCAACTGTCATTTTGGAAAAAAAATCAAAACAACCCCAATGTTAGTTGCGTGGGAATTTCAGTTACGATATCACTTGAACCAAGGACGGGGGTGGAAAATAAAAGACTGTATAAATCACCCCTAATCGTTCTTTTGATAACTTACACTTGTTGCATCACTACACGTATACCAACTTATATTTAACATTTAGAAACACCACCGTTAATAAATTCAACTTTATATCAATCACGCTAGAATTCAGTTTTGATGATGTCTATTTTGTGAAGTGAATATGTAAGTTGGTATTGCGGGGGCGGTTTTTAGGGGATGCTAAACAATTAAGTGAATCTCAGGTAAACTTATTTTAAATTGGATGAAAAAAAATTATAAAGATTTGCGTGAACCCAAAACCTTCATGAATAATGGATAACGTATTATTATTAACAATACACGTTGTGTTATTATTATAATGTGGATGTGTTATGTGTTTTATTAATAAATGCTGTTTGTGTTATTTGTAGTTTATGTTTCCTTTATTCCTCTCGAAATTTTATTTTCTGTTATTATGGTAAAATTGTTTTTGTAAGAAGAATGAAGGAACAGTATATGTAATTTAAAGGTTTGATAAATAATAACCACGGCACGGTCAGTCAAATAGATAAAAAGAGTGAGCCGCGGTCGTAGATTTGATGTCTGGATTGAATAAAGTATTATAAAAAAAGAATTATTATTGATTGCACAGAATCTTAATCTGGAACGATATTAAGAACAACATACTAAAACTTGAGCGTAGTAGTAGCTTCTTGCTTATCCTTTCAGAAAATAACATGCGTGGTATTAATTTCTATAGAAACTATAACAAAATATCACTTAAGCCTTTGGCTGCCGACAGATAACTGTTAAAGACAAATCCACGTTAACGTGCCAAAATGAAAACCAATATAACAGAATAACCTTTAGTTTAAAATAATATAATATAACATCACGCCTTTTACCCCCGAAGGGGTAAGCTGAGGTGCACATTACGGCACTTAATGCCACTGTACAATGTAACACCCACTTTTCACTACTTATGTTATGAGTCCCATCTAATAGGGGGTGAGCCTATTGCCATATACCGGGCATTTTTAGACTCCATGCTACTACTGAGATTTAAAAAAAAACCAGTAATACTTTGCCGGGGACCCGGGAATCGAACCCGAAACCCTCTTGCCCGGCAGTTCCACTTAAGACCACTCGGTTAATGAGGCAGTCTAGCTTAAAATAAAACCAAAAGAACATTTAAAGAACCATTTTTTGTTTTGATATACGGTTCATACAATTCCGATGACGTAACAAATTTTGTAAAAGAAAGGGTTTCGATGTTGTTTTGTTTTTATTATTATAAGTAAGAAACATCGTCTAATGAGGAGGGAGGCTATCATTAGAGGAGCGAAAAGAGGTGGGAGGTGATAATAAGGCTTGATTTTGGATGTTCTCGTTAGGGCTACGGTGTTACTGTTAGCGACTTAGTTATATAATTAAAACGTACGAAAGAACCGTTGAGTTTTTTATGTAACTGTTACTAGTGATGATGTGCTACAAGCCTTTTTCATCAATTGTTTTGTCAGAACGTGGTATTTAGCGTCTTAATTGTTTCAGGTAAATATACGTGTAAGCAAGATTTATAAAAAAAATAGTACTACGCTAAGTTCTAAAATACCACATGAAACAACACATGATACATTATTAACATAACATTAGAAAAAAAAACGTGGACGACAGTTTTCGTAGCAGCGGCTACGAAATCGCTACGTCGCTACGCTTGTGCTACGCGCTCGCTAACAGTGATACGTGACTTTACTTACATATTTTATTTGGAATACTTTGAGAAGATGAGTTCAGAAGTACTTCTTAATAGCTTCGAGGTCGTACTCTGATATTAACTTTAATAACGATATTCAGTGAAAAGGATCATTACAAAATTTAAAGTTTTAATTAAAGATTCGATGCGCTCTGTTTTGACGGCACAGTAAAAATCAAAAGTTTTAGCTTTTTTTGTTCTAAGACTTTACGTATCAAGAAGTATTATTTTTATTGTATAGTTTCAATATTTTATTGTTAGGGTAGATATGGAATCAAGTATTGGTGTCGTAAAATGGTTCATTATACTCAAATGCATGTTCATTTTTCACCTGTTACTTATTGTCTATTAAAAAGCTTTTCTTTTGAATTAAGTAGTTCATTTTTTAATACAACTTGAACTAAAGACGTAATATTACTACATATTTTATATCCCCGAGTCTATTATGACTCATACAACTTTAAAGTTATATTACTTATTCGTATTATTAAGGAGGATTTATTATCTTTATTGAAGGGATTAGATTCAAGTTCATTTATAATTCGAGTTTAAAGAGAAATGTAGGTCACAAAAAAGTATGAACAAAACTATATTATGTTAACAAAAAGATCATAGGTAGGTAACTGTTGGATACTCTGACTCAAAATGGATTCAGGTCATTCTGTATTAAAATTTCCCAAAATATCTACCATGTCAGTCTTTAATTCAACTCACATTTTCACACCAAACTCACTCAAAAAGACCGAACACACTCAAAAACTATTAACTCCAATTAGCATTAGTAAATTGCTTTATCACTCGTGGAACATAAGACGGCGTCCTGATTGTTTAAGTCAAATCATTTGCCATCGTTAGCTGGCGGCCACAACCAATGGCTATAAATACATAGTTAAGTGCAACGGACGGTTAATTCCAGCAATTTGCTGTTGGTATAAATAATGTGGTGTAAGTTAAGAGCGGACAGCAATTCATTCGGTTGATGTTAGGAATTAAAAAGTATAGATACTAAATAAACATAGATGTATTTGTTTATTTAGTACACACACATATACTAAATAAATAGATGTATATGTTTATTTAGTATCAATTCTTCATCATGATGAACAGCTGGAAGACGTCCACTGATACACAAAAGCCCCTAAGTCCTCCACATATCGATTACAAAGAACAAATATAGGTAAGAAGTTAGCATAATAAATATTTTACAATACTCACTACCTTTAATTTTCTCACCTCACTCACCTTTCATTTTCCAAAGAAAACGCCTATGTAAAAGGAACGAAACTTTTTTTCACGTTGCAATGGAAATATTTATTGTCTTATAATGAATACTTACCTATTCACATTTATTCTTATGCTTTGATATTAAGCAATTTTAAAATTAATATATTTCGTATTTTACTCTCGCTGTTTACTCAGTACAGTTTTTACTAAAATTTAAGTTAAAATAATAATTCAGAATCAGTAATCGCTATTCGCTTATGACTTGTATTCATTGCGCACACGCAGTAGTCGGT